GATAGAGACACTTAGTTCACTCACCAAATGGCCACAACAGCCAAAACTAAGCTATTCTGCACTGCTTCCCAGGCCCCAAGCAGGAAGCCGGATGGAAGTGGTCAGCCGGAACAAGAACTAGCACCCACAGAGGAATGCCAGCGCCTGCAGGTGGAGATGGCTGGCATCCCTTGTGAGTCATGCTGTCAGCCCCTTAAGTGTAACACACTGGCTTCTTCTAGGCAGCTTTTTTTAAAAGATTTACTTGTTTTTATTGGAAAAGCTGATATACAGAGAGGAGAGACAGAGAGGAAGATCTTCTGTCCAATGATTTACTCCCCAAGCGGCTGCAACGGCTGGAGCTGCGCCGATCCAAAGCCAGGAGCCAGGAGCTCTTCCTCCAGGTCTCCCACACAGGTGCAGGGTTCCAAGGCTTTGGGCCGTCCTCCACTGCCTTCCCAGGCCACAGGCAGGGAGCTGGATGGGAAGCGGGGCTGCCGGGATTAGGACCTGTGTCCATATGGGATCCCAGTGCATGCAATGCGAGGACTTTAACCACTTTGCTTTCACGCCAGGCCCTCTAATCAGTTTTAAATGCAATAAACTAGACGGGTTGTGAGAACAAGAGGGTAGGGAAGATGGCACTCTACAAGAGGACAGAAGGAACATGAATGACTAGGGCTCTGGAGAAGCAGCAAGCTCCCTCCTGAAACCTGGCTTCAAGAGAACTCAGGGCAGCGGAGGCATCCTGATATCGGCCACATCTCCCGCAAATCCACTTGTACACAGATCTTTACATCAATGCACAGAGTCCTTGAAAACTCTCCTTCAAGAAGCACAGCTCACGGTGGGCACTGGATGCAGCTATACCTGCGCCCCTGACAGCCTGGGCTCGAGTCCCAGTTCAGCCCTGCCCCAGGCTCCCACTAATGTGGACCTCCAGCGCAGCCAGCGATAGCTTAAGCACCTGAATCTTCCCCCAATGTGAGAGACCAGAGTCCCCAGCTCCCTACTTCAGCCTGGCCCATCCTGGCTATCTGAGGCAAGCGGTGAACCCTCACACAGCATGCCGTACAGCATTTCAAGCTGTTTGCAACACTGGCATCCCTTGTGGGTACCAGCTCAAGTCCTGTCTGCTCCATCTCCTATCCAGCCCCGTTAACGCACCTGAAACAGCAACAGCAGGGAACCCAAATGCTTGGGCCCCCACCACCCACGTGGGGCCTGCCATGGGAGCCTGCAGGTTCCTGGCTCGGCCTGGTACAGCCTCAGGCCTCATGGCCATTGGGGGAATAAATCAGTGGATGGAAGATGCCAGGTTTTCTGTCTCTCCCTTGTTCCCTCTCTGTGGCTCTTTCAAATAAATAAATAAATCTAAAGCAAACAAACAAAAAGCAAAACCTAATCCCTTTGCATGCTGGCTGGGCCTCAGGACTTGAATCTAATTCAATATGGAAGAAGAAATGGCATATGCCCTGAGGGTCACTGCTTCTTTCCTTCTTTCCTTCCTTCCTTCCTCCCCCGCGCTCTCTCTACCTGTTCTGGGAGACCCAAACACCAGGATATTCAGTCATTCAAGTAACACCTGTATGAAGAGGTATGCGGTCCCTTGGCAAGCGGCTGCGGCTTCCTGCCCACGGCCATGTAAAGGAGTCACACTGGACACAAACCCAGGCAACTGCAGCCTCAAGCCACTGGCCAAGCCATGCCCTGATAATCGAGCCACAAAGACTGTAAAGCAATAAATGTTTCCACACTGTCATTAAGTGGTGGGATAGCTGGTTATTTAGCAATAGATAACATGGCCCTATGGTATTTCTTTTTTCTTTATCTGTCAACAGTTTTGTGTAAGCAAAGGTCAAAACAATAAATAATTTCTAGAAAGCTGTTCACTCCTTCACACACCTGTGAGGCTTAACCCAATGACAGAAGAGTTCAGTCCTTGTTTTTGTTTAGTGTTTGTTGAAAGGTTTTTTTAATATGTAAAGAATTATTTATTTTTATTGAAAAGTCAGACATACAGAGAGGAAGAGAGACAGAGGAAGATCTTTTTTTTTTGCTGTTTCACTCCCCAAGCGACCCCAAAGCTGGAGCTAAGGCCATCCAAAGCCAGGAGCCAGGAGCCTCTTCCAGGTCTCCCCACATGGGTGCAGGGTCCCAAGGCTTTGGGCTGTCCTCGACTGCTTTCCCAGGCCACAAGCAGGGAGCTGGATGGGAAGCAGGATCACCAGGATACAAACCAGGTACAAGGCGAGGATTTTTAGCTGCTAGGCTATCACACTGGGCCCTATTAAAATATTCTTATCAGTGCTTATACACTGGTCTACAGTAATCCAAATTTTAGTCAACCAAGCATCGTATATGAATATGGCTATTCAAGTGGGGTAAAAAAGAACATTTATCTGATTGATCTGAGTGAGATGAATGCAGCAACCAAAACTAGCTCCAGAAGGGCCTATGTGCAAAGTAGAAAGCCACCTGTTGTCCCTGCTCAGTCCCAGGGTGCAGAAGCTGCCTGAAGGAAACTAATTACAGAGCACCTGGCAGTGTGACAGCAACCCCGAATCTCCTGCTTCACTAAGGAAAAGGGGACAAGACATCGGGTAAAGGAAAGACTAATTTCACATGTATTTCCTAAGGTCAGAGGTGTGCTTTGAAGTAACAGGAGAGGAGGATAAAAAAGGAAAACCCTTTATTCTAGATGGTGTTTCTGCAGCATTGAGGTGCTAATAGACACTGAAGATTTATTCGGACATCAGAACACTTACACACTTGCAGGTGTTGAGATGTTAGAAACACAGCTTGGGAAACTTGACTTGGGCAGGCAGACAATCTAAGAAGACAGATACAATAAAATGATCTCACCTAAAAAGAGGAAAATAATTGACTACAAGTTGTGACTATGCCATTTTCTGAAGCAAAACAAACTGCTAGAATATGGTATCAAAAACAACAGCCATGCCAGATGTCAGGAAGATGAAGATGAGAAAATCAGGAAGGAACAGCACACCACCCCCAGCTCCAAGCCCCTTCACTCGGCTCCAGCTGTCCTCACACAAGAGCCAAGGGGGCAAGCGGCTACCCGAGGACCCAGGGGGAGGGCTGGTGGGAGCTTACCGGGTAGTCTGACTCCAAACTGTTAATCAACAACGTTGACAAGAACCAGTACTAAGAATCCTTAGTAGAATAGGAAGCAGAAACATGAAGGCACAGAGACCAGAGAGAAAATGGCTGAGTTAACAGCAGAGGACTAGCCATGGCGGCTCAAGGGCCTGCTGCAAAAAAGGAACCCCTCCTCTCAGCCAACAAGTCTAAAGTGGCACATGACGGAGGAACTGAGCAGCTGAGGTGGTGCCCTGCAGGAGACTGCGGGGTGACCCACCCCGAGGGGGCATGTTGACCCTGGGTGTAATGAGAAGCAGCTTACACTCACCTGCAGGAAGTTCCCACATATGAAACGTCTACTTTTATCAGCGACAGCCTCCTGGTCCCAAGTCAAGCAGCCAGCTTCTGGCAGGGAGGGAGGCATCCAGGCCAGCACATGCCCAAGGTCCCCTGAACTCGGTACAACCCTAACCCTCCACTCCACTGTTCCTGACCCCGAAAGTAGGAAGGGTGCCAGGGGTCAGACCTCTGGGAGCCTGGCGGACAGGTATGCAGGCCAAAAGCATGCCCACACATGCCCTCCTGAATGTGGGCACAGCTGTGTGCCTTTCCCCGCTGCTTCAGGAATCAGCCAAGCGTGCAGAACGCCATGTTTATGCATAGCTCTTTCAGATCAGGCTGCAATAGCAACACTGTGCGACCCCTCTTGCTGCCCACAGCCTGGACAACCACACACAGCCCGAGCCCTAAAGTACAGCGCAGCACACTGCCTGCACAGCTGCAGCCAGCTGGGATCCACGCCCACCCAATGGCCACCGAGAGGGAGTACTGAACACCAAACCTGGGCATCTTACTTTTTTTTTAAGATTTATTTATTTTTATTGGAAAGTCAGATTTATAGAAAGAAGGAAAGTCAGAGAGAAAGATCTTCTGTCCACTAGTTCACTCCCCAAGTGGCTGCAATGGTTGGAAATGAGCCAGTCCCAAGCCAGGAACCAGGAGCCTCTTCCAGGTCCCCCTCCAAGGTGCAGGGTCCCAAGGCTTTGGGCTGTCCTCCACCACTTTCCTAGGCCACAAGCAGGGAGCTGGAAGTGAGGTGGAGTAGTCGGGATACGAACCAGCGCCCATATGGGATCCTGGTGCATGCAAGGTAAGGACTTTCGCCACTAGGCTACCGTGCCTGGGCAGGCATCGTATTCTGTAAGGCCTGATTCTTAAGGCTCAAAGTTGTGTTGTTGTTCTCTCTGGCACCTGGAATGACCTGTGAGACTCTGCTCCCAGACCCACTGAGTGTCACTGCAGGGCTCAGGGAGCAGCTGTGCTCTGACACAGCAGGTGAAATGGCATGGGTGTGTGCATCCAGAGGGTCTGCTGAATGCCACCTCAGCCCTGACTCCACATTCCTGCTAACGCTTCTCAAGTGGCTGGATCCCTGACACCCAAATGGGAGAACGGGACTGACTCTAGGCTCCCATTTAGGGAATGAAGTAGCAGACAGAAGATTTCCTCTGTGTCTGTCTGGCTATCTGTCTCTCAGAGAAATACATTTTTTAAATATTTATTGTATTCTTTTTATTTGAACTCAGAATTTCAGAGAGAGAAGGATACAGACAGATATCCCATCTTGGTTCAATGACACATTGGCCAGTCCACAGCCAGAGGCTTCTTGAGTCTCCCACATGGATGCAGGGACACAAGAACTTGGCACTCTTCCACTGCCTTCCAAGGCCATTATCAGGGAGTTGCATCAGAAGTGGAGCTGCCATGCCTTGAACCAGCATCCAGATGGGATGCTGCCACTGCAGTCATAGGCTTAGCTGGATAACCATGGTGCCAGCCAAATAAAATATATTTTTCAAAATGTGAGAAGTCATGGAGAGGGACAGGAGTTTAGTCTTGCACTTAAAGACACCCACCTCCCATGTCAGAGTACCTAGGCCCAAGCCCTGGCTCCACCCCAGATTCCAACCTGGGCGGCAGGCGATGGTGAGGCAGGCGAGATCCTCTACCACAGGACCCGGACTGCATCTTCAGCTCCCGGACATGACCTGGCCCAACGCCAACTGGCTGCAGACATCTGGGGAGTAAATCTCTGTCCTTCAAATAAGTGAATAAAAATCATACAAATACATACATGTATGTACACACATATATACTTTACATATATATGCTGATATGTGCTGATACATATAGGCAAATTTTACCACTTGAAAATAATTCTATCCTATCACAAACAGGTCATTTTACCAAAAACCTCTTACATGAACACTATTATCTAACCCAATGACCTAACAGAGACACACACATTGGTTGGCACAAATCACAACCCTCAACTAAAACATGAAACTCACTAAATATTTTCAGTATACAGACAGGCTTATTTAGCTAAATGTTCATTAAAATGGCTTAAGAATCCTAACAATTATATTTAGAATTTTTTTTTAAATCCTAGAACCATGTTAGACAAGGAACCAAACACAAGTGAACAGACTCATCAGAATGGCATTTAAACAGAATACGCAAAGCTTCAATTAGGGGATAATTATCAAGATGACAATAATTAACAATCACTTACAAATATTATTCAGGCCCAGTGCAGAAGCCTAGTAGCTAAAGTCCTCTCTCCTTGCACACAACCGGGATCCCACATGGGTGCTAGCTCTAATCCCAGAGTCTCTGCTTCCCAACCAGCTCCCTGCCTGTGGCCTGGGAAAGCAGTGGAGTATGGCCGAAAGCTTTGGGACCCTGCACCTGTGTGGGAGACCAGGAAGAGGCTGCGAGCTCTTGGCTTCGGATTGGCTCAGCTTCAGCCATTGCAGCCACTTGGGGAGTGAATCATCAGACAGCAGATCTTCCTCTCTGTATATCTGCCTTTCCAATAAAAACAAATAAATCTTTAAAAATACTACTCAAAAGCAATTCCTGGTTGTATAAACAAACAAACAAAAAAAACCAACTGTGATCACCCAGAGCCCAGCACTATCAGAGCCTGATTATGCAAGACAATAGTGCATTGTTCCAGCACGCCCTGGTGTGTGAGGAGGCCCGCAGTCAGGTTAGGCCAATGACTCATTCAAACATCTGAATTTTCTGCTATCTTAACCTTTAAATCAACTGCAAAAGTAGCTGCCAAAAGCAGTTAGTGGAGAAGCACACTAGTCCCAAAAGAACTTGGTATACACAACTGATTTTTACTACTTGAATCTTTTTTTGATTACTGAGATTTGAACAAGATGTTAAAGATCCAAACTAATTTTAAAGTAATGGGTGCTTAGTAAATCCATAATGATATTCAAGGCAGGCAGGATTTCAGAAGAGTCCAGAGTTTATCCACCTGTATTTCACAGCACCTGGCATATTCCGGCTCATCTTTACATACAATTAATTCAGGGCCTGATGGAAATTATTGTCCTGTGTGTTTTTAAATTTTTTTGATTGATTGACCAACAAGTCAAAGTTGAAGAAGTCTGTAATCCATTTCATTTCTTGCTGTGCATCTTCTTTTCGCCACAACTTGTTTTAAGCAGCAAATATGGGCAGAAAATACACAAGACTGAAATCACCCAACTCTATTCCCACAGAATAAATACTACATTTGAACTGCTCACATTTCCCTGCAAAAGACGTGATTTTAGAGATTACACTACGAGTTTTGGAAGCAAAATGAGTCAGAAACCACATTCCAAGGAGGAGCCAGTCTGGCACAGAAGTTTACCCCACACCCAGAGCACTGGGTACCGCCACCCACCACTGCAGTTCTCCACTTTCAACCATCTGAGCTGCGTTAGGACAAGTGAGAATGGGAAGCCAAGGCATGACCAAGCAGGCTGTCCCCGACCTGCACCCTGGTTCGCAAGTCTTTGAGCAAGAACTGGCCCTCTTCCAAGCTAGTCTACAAACACATTTGTTTCACATTTTCTTTATGTTTTCAATCTAACTCATAAATCATTCTATCAGACAATCCTATTTATGTTTATATGACTAATGAAAATATTATCACAATGCAATGCTGCTCTGTAGGTCCTTTTTTGGGTAATTCCCCACCTCCCGAGGGATTAAGTCCTTGGGTGACATCTCCCTGCCTCCTGCCACGATTTCACTTTATCAACAACACCAGAAACTTTTCAAAGACTGCAAATGCACCTAGTGTTCCCTACACCTGGAACACAAACACAGCCAGTTACTGTGTTTACTGTTCTGGAACAACCCGCACTCATCCAAGAGGAAAGGTTGCCAGTGACAGGAAACACTGGAAGGACCAATGTCTAGGTGCTTCACAGACCAGCACAGGCCCTGTCCGGCCACGGACACAGCAGACGGCCTCCCAGACCACCAGAGGGTCCCAGCAGACGGCCTCACAGACCACCACAGGGTCCCAGCAGACGGCTTCACAGACCACCAGAGGCCCCGTCCAGCCACGGACACAGCAGACGGCCTCGGCGCACAGGCCCACTCAGGAGAAGGGCTTTTGCAGCAAGCCACTACCACCACATGCAAAAGGAAAATCGGTAAGCTCTAGCCACCAATCCCCTCCCCCATCCTCTTCCTCTGGCTCCTACAAGCAATTAACCAGTAGAAGGTGCAATTCCACAACCCGCAGGACACACCAAGCTCCACCCTGGGGCCAGAGCCCGGTCATCCCAGGTGGACTAGCAGCCTACCGCGGCCAGTGCTCAAGGGAATCCCAACACTTGCCCCCAAAACAAAACAAAGAAAACCTTACCACCTCTATCTACAAAAACAGCCCCAGGCTGACAGTTCAGCAGCCAGCAAGCTTGACTGCCCAGCAGACCTTCAGACCACTAACAGCCCGAAACACACACCTCCAGTGCAATCCTCAGACTTAACCAAGCCCGCCCATCTCTGCCCAAGCCCCACCTGCCTCTACAGTGGGAGCGGGGGAGCACACCACTGCCCCAGCGAGGGTGGACGCAGCAAAGCCGTGACACAGAGGCATTGCATCTTTCCACACACACACACACACACACACACACACACACACACGCAAAGAACAGCAGACGCCAGGCTAGCAAGGGGAAGAGAGGAAGGCACAGGAGGCCCTGAGCGTGAGCCTGAGGCCCCTTAGCTCGCCAGGTTCTCTTCTGCCTCACAGGGTTACAAAAAAGGCCAGTCAGGAGATGGGGAGAGAGGGCTCAACAAGAAAAGCACCTCCCCCACCGCCTCTCCTCTCTCCCAAAGAGCTGTGTCTGTTTGTGCAAACCCAGTCCCAAATATGGGAGAGAGAATGAACGTGTGTATGGAAGAACAATGAACGCTCGGCCCGGTATTGTGTGTGTGTTTGTGTGTGTGGACGTGTGTGTCTCTTTTCCCTTCGACCCCAACACCAGGCGGAGGCACAGGCCAGCCTCCCACCAGGGCCAGGCCGGCAGAGCCAACCTGGCTTCCCATTGCCAGGGGAATGATCCGGCCAGCACAGCCACGGGAGGAAACATCTACTCAAAGATGATTTTATTATTGTTACAGATCCGTCCTCTCCCCTCCCCCACAGACTGAGCCCGAGACCAGGGGACACGAGACAAAAAGGTCTCTCTAAAGGGAAAGCCGCACCGACGCCTCCCGCCGCGGGATGCGCTCATTTCCTACGTTAAAATGTCTGCTTTGTGATTCACCAACTTCATCCTTTTACCAGGTTTTTTTTTTTTTTTTTTGGACCTCCAAAATTTGCTTTGGAGAAAGCTATTTCAAGATTCATACAAAAAGTACTTTCTAAATGCACCTTAAAATAGCAACACACATTGAAACATTTAAAGCACCCAGTTTCTCAAGGACACATTTTGCCTAAATCAGTGTTTGAAGTCTGTAATCCAGAAAAATCGTAAGCAAACCTTGGAAAAGAGACAGAGGGAAATGACAATTCGACAATGAATCATTTTGTTTTCCTTTCAACAACTTCTCAAGCAACCGGTTCCAAAGGAAGCTGCAACACTTTCCCCAACACACACACACACACACACACACGCCGCTGAAACTACTTACCGTCTTTCCACAACCTTAAAAAAGGGATAATAAGAACTAGCAGCTGCCCTCCCTTCAAGAACAGAACTAAAGGCGAGACTAGCAATCGTAAGCTGCTACAAGTGATGTTTGCTCCTCAGCTCCTGAAGCCGTAGCCAGCCACCAGACGCCGAGGACACAAAGACCGAGTCTTGCAAAGGCGAAAATGATACTTTACGCGCAGTCCGCCCCCCACCCACCCCGAACCCCACAAACACTCAAGAAACGTACACCTTCGGCCCCCGACCCCTTCCCCTCCCACACCTGAGCCAATAATGTGATCACATGAAAGAGTTTAACCTCACACGGACAGTGCCGGCGCTTGAACGAGAGGCCAGGAGGGGTCGGAGGCCCCGGGGGCGGTCACCTGGCCCCCCGGGACCGCGCCGGCCCTTCCTTCCCCGCCGCCCGGCGCCCCGACGCGGGGCCGGCCGCAGAGCCCCCCGACGGCGCGGGCCAGGCGGAGACTTACCTTCCCCGAACGCGCTACACCATCAATAGAGGTGTCTGCGGCCCAGCTCCCGGGAAAAGTGGACGGGGACGGGGCGGGGGCCGCGGGGACGCGACGCCGGGGGCTGCGGGGCCTCGCTGCCGTGACCTTCCCCACGGGCGGGCAGATCCCTCAGCAGCGGGAGCTCAGGATCATGTCTGGTTTTGTTTTTCCGAGGGCGGGGAGGGGGGGCTCCCTCAGGAGGATGGTTGATTTTTTTTTTTTTTCCTTTCCTCAACTAGGAGAGAAAATGAAGCAGAGGCAATGTGGGGGAGCGAGAATGGGGAAGAAGAAGAGGGGGCGGGCGGGGAACGAGGCCCAGCAGGCTGAGCGTCTCGGGCAGTGCGGGAGGCTGAGGAGGCTCCGGAGCGCGGGGGGCGGCTCGCGAGCGTCTGTGGGAGCAGCGGCACCTCCGCGATGGTGGCGGGGCCGCGGCGGGGCTGCGCCGACCCGCCGCCCACTCCCCGCTCGGGCCCGGCCCACCTCGCAGTATCGCGCCTCGCCACTGGTGAGGCTCGGCATGACGCGTGCGGGGGCCGGGCCAATGGGGGGCGAAGGGCGGGCGAAGGGGCGGGACCTCTTGCTCCTCTCCCTCTGTCTTTTTTTTTTTTTTTTTCCTCCTTCTCTGTGTCTCGC